TAGATAGATAGATAGATAGATAGATAGATAGATAGATAGATAGATAGATAGATAGATAGATAGATAGATAGATATGGTATAGTGGTTGGGGTGCTGGCCTAAGAATGGGGAGAGCCAGATCCTAACCCTCCATTTGTACAAAAGCTATTTTGGTTACTCTCTTTCATCCCTCTTCAATACCAGGCTTCTTCGCATAATGCAGATATAACTTTGCTGTAAAAACTAGGTGAGTGTAATGCAAATCCAAGTGAGTCTGTAACCATGCAAGATAAATGCTAAATAAACAAGAACACATTCTACCCAAAAATGGTTTGAATTCGGAAGTGTCAGACTACTTCAGCTTCTTCATTTTCAATTCCTTTGTGTATTCTGTGGCCCCACCAGTTCTTGCTTGCAGACAAGTGGTATTTCTTGCAAGAATTGCAATGCACCATTGTTGCTACTTTGTCATACAATTGTGCATATCCATGCAATTGTGCAGCAGTTAACTAGGCAGCCCACTGTTAACTTTAGCTCTTGCTTTGCATGTACTTGTTTTTATTATGACTCATATACATAATATTATATACGCATGCATTATACAATATGTTCCTTGAAGTCGGAAGGGTATTTTGAAAACTCGCCTCTGTGTAGCACATGTGTGCATGAATGACAAAAAATTTGCTTCCCTCTACCGAAGAATATCTGAGCAGTATTGTATATGCGAGATTATATGTATATATTCTGAAAGATACAGATCAGGGGGTGGGGGTGGGACCTTTATTTTTCATTCATTTTTCCTCCATAGCAACTGATGTTCAGTGTCATGTTTACAGCAATACTAAGTGTCACCTCCTTCTTCCGCAGCTTCAAAAACTCTCATAAACAGTCTGCTTCGGGATCCTTCTCAGATTCCAGATGGAGTCTTAGCCAATCAGGTCTATCAGGTATTTATCAGAGTCATCCTTTTTCAATGACAATGCTGTTCTCTGCCTAGCAGGGATAGGATTTTCAAAACCTCATTTAATTGCTGGCATCATTATTATCTTACATGGAGGTCAACAATGCATAAATAGCAATGTGGTATTTGTGAAGAGAGCATTTTACTGTCTTATTATATTATTTTTACAGACACATTATTTCTTACAGAATAAAAAAGATGTGAATTTTGTTTTCCGTTATTCCTTGTAAAAAGCTTTTGCTTCAAAGTTTTAAGTTTTAATTTCGAAGAAAAAAAGTATTTCTTACGATTCTATTAATTATAATAGACCTACACAAGCCCATCTTCCTACTACTATTTTTATTTGTCTGCAGTGCATTGTGAATGACTACTGTTATGGACCATTGGTGGACTGCATCAAACAGTATCCTTTCTCATAAAATTTTAGGTGCACAGTTGATGAGCTTAGGCTTTGAGGAGGAGATATGTCTAGCTGTAACCTGACATAAAGTTCTGCTTCGCAAGACACATATCATGTGCCTCTGTTTTACATTCAATCAGCCACAAGGGGATCACTGCAGAGCCTGTCTCTTACATTGTTTAACTAATGTCAGATATGCCATATGAAAATTGTCAGTTCAGTAGATATACATTTCCTTTGCTTAGATAAAATCCTCTTGCTGTTGGTCACGTGAAATACACAATCTTGTATTAAATTATTTGTTGTCATAAGTTGCAAATTCTATAAGACGTAATAGCTTCTTTGCATTTCCCACAGAAACTGTGATTCAAAATCTAAGAGCAAGAAAATGTGACTTACCACATAAAAATGATCATAAGTGGAATTAAGTGTATTCATAGATGCGTAGGCTACTTGCAATTCTGTTCAAATTAATTACATGCACAACCCTTCTGGAAGGTTGTTCTCCTTTATCTTTCTCATCCACTGAATATTCTAGAAAATCTTGATGCTTAAAGAATGAAAATGTTGTTCCTACACAACAGAGTTTAAAAGTTAATAGTTAAGCAAATTAGCACAAACCTTGCAACTTATTCTATGAGGCAAATAGACAGAACACATTCAAATCATCTACTTTGTATAGTGCTTACAGTTATAAAAATGGAAAGGAATCTTAATCTAAAGACAACGTAATGAAAACATACAGAATTCATTGAGTTTTGCTCAGAATGAATATATTTTGTATATGTTCTTAAATCATCTTCCTATCCATTTTATTTCTTTTTCATTTTAGTGGGTTGAAGTACTTATATAAGCATATTAATTTAGAATAAACATTAATTTAATATTATTTTTCCAAAAAGATACATACTGGTTTATAACAACAAATCTCACCATAATTTAGAACCACAGTAAGTTAAAGTTAAAATAAAGCTTATAACAACCTATTCAACCTATGATGAAATAAATAGGTTTATTTTTGCCTGTTCTTTCTTACTTTTTTAAGAAACCTAATTTCTGTCGTCGGTCAATGAATTTTTTTTTATTGAATTAATTGTTTGAAACATTTCTGTTAGTTTTGATTTCTGTACCAACCTACAAAAATGCAAGTCACTGAGACATCTGCTCATCCAAATTGCTGCATAATATGCAGCTTTTGGCTCTTATTAACAGATGAAAGAAACTAGTGCATGCTGCAGGACAACTAATTTTTTCCCCACTGCTATCAGTGCTTTTTATGATTCTGAATTATTAAATGAGTTTTCACTACTCAGTATATTGAACAGGCTAAGTAGCAATGCCACATCAGACCCATCATCTAATATTTGTCTTCAATAAACCTCCGCTTTATACCTAGTTCTGTATATTTTGATAGTTTCTTAGATAATAAAATAGGAGCAAGTTTGAAGTCTGCCCATGCTTTGGGAGAAGTAACAAAGTTCAGCAGCTTCTAAGGTATAAGCATAATTAGTCTTACTACTGTGCCTCCAAGAAAACGAATTATAGCACAATCCTTTTTATGTGCTAAAAGCTTCTATGATTTTGTCTTGACAATGTATAGTAGTAATATATTTAAACATTCAATTCCTTGATGTCATGATAGACCCAGACCTATCAGACTAATCACAAAATAAATACATTTTGATAGATTTAGAACCCTAGGGAACTATATAAACTACACCACATATTTCACACATACTGTATATACCAAGTTTCTGAGCAGAGTTTCTTTGGGGAATGAAAAATGATTCTGGTAAGCCTATTTTTGTTCCAAACCATAGTTAATAAAGGCAATAAGATGAGATCATTGTCTGCTAAATGTGTATCATAGAACATTGACATAGTAGTATTTTTACATTGTCATCTATATCATAGATAATTATATATTGGCTATAAAATTGGGTCAAAGAAGTAGCCTGTAATCTAGAAATAGTTTATGGAAATAGTTATTGAGAACCATACTTCTGCTAAACCATATTTACTATAAGGTATTGATTGCAATATACACCATAGTTAATTTCAGATCAGATTCCATTAAGCACTAAAGAAAAAAAATCAGAAATAATTAATGTAAGGTTTTGTAAAAGTGGTTGACCATAAGTTATTAAACATTTAATGATTTCTGTTTATGAAAGATTATTTAAAAATATTTATTGCTGAATTAGTTGTTAATTTTAAGGCATACAAAGTCATTTAAAACCAATCTAAAGTTAAGGTTTTTAAGTATAATGTCTTCTAAGGATTGCATATTGATTTTAAATACAACTATCTAATTATATATGCATGGACTAAAGTATGAAGTCAACCTCTTTGAATTGCCAAGAGGCTGTTTTTCAGTAACAGTTTAGATATTTACGGGAAACAAGGCTGCTGAATTGAATGAGCACAGACTGGCTTGTGAAGTTATTTACAAGTTTTGCTCCATGGTCAGGGCCATACATCAATAACAGGTATTACCATAGACTAAATCTCAGCCTTTTTTTTTACAATGTATTATACACACTGTTTGTAGAATTTATTTTATATTTTTGCTATTAGTCATTTTCCTTATTTGATTCTGTCATTATAGCACACCTTGATGTGCTACATCAATTTTTCATAGTGCAATATTTCCCATGACTTACAAAAATTCAAACTGTGTAGTTTCTATAAGATAGATAACAATAACAACAACAATAATATGCAATTTAGTTATTTAAATTGTATAAAAATTATAAGTTCATAATTGTTGAAAAATTATTTTTAAAACTTGAAAGAATAATAAAGAAAATATATTTCATCATTAGTAGTAATATTTGCTACCTATTATATTTTAATTATAATTTTCATGTCCTGCATCTATTTTATGGCATTTCAAAAATCTCATACAGATTGATTCAATCTCTTGCGTCAATGTGCAATAAATAGGTAGAGGACCAGGGAGATCTCTTTTAAGGCTGTAAACATATCTAGAAATTTGAGATTTTGCTATGAGTAACTATTTATAAAAACCCTAAGCCTAACGCTTGTTGGATATGAAAGTAACATCCATTTTCCAAAACTCAAATTAAGCTCACTCTACAGGTCCTACTAAGATCTGGGCTGCAAAGATTCAAACAACAAAGAGTTGGCCAGAAGCAACATGCATATATAACATGCAAACAGTATTTTAACCAAATTTTTGCAGCTCAGATATAATGCTTCTTACTTTCACATCCTATTTCCTCTTGTTTCAGGAAGACAGTTGTTGCTCTTTTTTTCTAGACAAGTAAATATGTCAAGCAAGCACTAGGTTTTAGCCTCTCATTGGTTGCTTTAAAAATATCAATAATGATAGTGACTGGCAACTTTCCTCATAGCGGGCTGGCTTTTCAATTTTTTAAAAATATCAAACTATCATAGAAATCATAGGGACAATTTTGCCAACCCCAAACAAGGTACGTATAGCATTAACTAAATACTGATGAACCTCCAAAGCAATATATATTTATATGAATTATCCAGATTCCAAGAACAATGTGTCAAAGGTTTTACTTCATCTCAAAAGTGAGATTCATACCATCACTACTAGATTTACTTTTCTCAGAATTCATTAAATTGTGCAGGCAAACCAACAAGCATAATTAATGACTCTCTTAAAAACTAGCAAGCATAGTTAATGACACCCTTGAAAAGTCTTGAAATTTTCTAACTTTTTTCCCAGAAACAAATTCTATCCTCTTTTAAAGCATTAATTTCAAGATATCTTGAAATTAGTTCTGCCAAATAAAGGGGACACAAAGGCTATTATGATGTAATGATTGCAAACAAATGGGAATTATTATCTTTGAATTCTAAATAAAGATTATTTGTCATGTTTCATTTCTGACAGTCTAAAAAAGTTTATTTTGTTTACATCTTATCCTATTCTTCTTCAAGAAACTTTATGAAACTCTCATAGCAAGAGAAAAAGTTGAATTTAAAAATGAATATGGAACAGACACCATATTATTTTTGAATTTTTTAAAATTAATTCTAGCGTTAACTAATTATATAATATTGACTAGATATATATCACTGCTTCATAGTAATTATAAAGACACACCAGTCTGGCTGAAATATATAGAAGATTATCTCATAACAGATCTTAATACTCTGATTCCATCACCTCCTCCAATATCTTTCATTTTCTTGTTTGTAGACTGACAATTGGTTATTAAAATGCAAAGTTAAATGTTAAATTTTGGTAGCCAGGACTCAATTCTAGATCACTATAGTCTACCAAAAAGAGCTATGCTATTATAAAATCAAGTTTTATATAAAATTGGGGAACATGTTTCTTTAATGGAAAAATATCAGTGCAATTGGATATGAGCATGAAGTCTTACTGCAAGAAATGCTTCTGAAAAGAAACATATCATTTTTAGGTAAGCTTTCATATTATAATCTAATACCTAAATGTTGGAAATCTCAGTAATTGTTTCCAAAAAAGTCTCTACAGATATCCTGTATATTAAGTAGTAAAGAGAGACTAAGAAATGATTGATGCAGTGCATGTTATCTTTTATTGATTTAGACCTGAACAGGAACTCAGTTATCTAATACCTTATACTGCATGTGCACAAGCAAGTAATTAATATTTTATAGAATAAGTATCTGGGAAAAATGCTTTAATATCAGTTGTTGTATTACTTTTGGTGTCATGAGATATTAACCATAGTCTAGGTCTTAGGAGACTCAGAAGGAAGTATGAGAAATATTAGCTTTATAATTCTTCATGTATTAAATCTCTACAAGAGGGATTCACTAGTTTCTTTAGAAGTTTATTTCTTTTTTTACAGTATATTAAACCTTCCTGCATTGTATTGTTAGTCAGAATTATATTAAATGATAAAATATGTAAGGAGAGTATTACAGTTAACACTTCCATGCATAGGTTATTATTACTTAAAGGATCATTTGTCTTAAAGCATGATACGTTTGTCATTCTTCAGAACTGTTATGTGGAATGATAACATCTCAGTATGAAAAACTATATTTTAATAATGAAGGCTTTTAAGCAAAAGTTTAAATACGACCAAAACCCAAATAATAGAAAAACTATTTTAAAGCAAAAATGCCTAATTACAGCAGCTGTGATCCACTCTGTTTCTTAGATTCTGTAATAACAAGATTAAGAATATTAGGATTAAATGAGAATAACTATGAGATACTAATAGCAGGACTGAAGCAAAAAGCAGCAGCACATCTCTGCATGATTACTTTATAACAATTATTTTTTATTATTATTTGTGTAGCAGACATCTATTCCTTAGCTGTATTCTTATAATTTTCTAATAAAGGCAAGAACCAAGTTTGATTTAAATAAATTTCTTTAGTCAAATTGTTAAGGATAACTTAAATTTATGATACTGTTAGATAAATTATATCGCAAAACATACAGTTCTGTCAAAAAATAAACATATTCATTCTTTTTTTAAAAAATATAATTTTTATTAAACATTATTACCTTTAAAAAACAGAAAAAAA